AGCACCCTACTGTGATCTGTTCAACATTTTCCGGACTTCCATCATCTAAACAGTAGTGTTTTTAGTAATGAAATCAAGATTTAATAACTTTCTTATCAGGTAATAATAATTCTTTAAATAAAAACTGACTTTCTCATTGAATTTTTAAATTTATAAATATTTTGGAGGATAGCTTTTTAAGCAGACATTTACATGTTCAATTTTACTGTCGTCTTTTCTTTCAAATATATTTTTTATTGATTTCAGAGAGGAAGGGAGAGAAAGAGATAGAAATGTCAATGATGAGAGGGAATCATTGATCAGCTGCCTGCATGCCCTGCTGGGGATCAAGCCCACAACCTGGCATGTGCTCTTGACTGGGAATCAAACCCGGGACATTTCAGTCAACAGGCTAACACACTCTCCATTGAGCAAAATCGGCCAGGGCCACTGTAGTCTTTAAAGGTATTATATATGTATCAGAAGTAATTTTGTTTGCAAGATGTTGGATCAATGCACAATTACAAAATTTTTTTTTGAGGATTTTAGAAATGTATAAAGGTCAACTTCTAGATATGAAACTTAAAGTCTTTCTCCATTATTTGCAAACATCATATATCCAAGGTAAAGAGAAAAGGTAAAAGTATGAATGTCAAACTTTTGTATAATAATAATAATAATAATAATAATAATAATAATAATAATGAGTGTATATACACATACACATATATAATGTTGACCAGGCTAATAAATTAATAATAGCTGAAAGCATCCTATTGATGAAACAAATCACAGGGCATGCTGTGGCATTTGTGACTTTATCTGAGAACAGCTAGAGAAAAACTTCTGCTTTTATGTGTTTATTTTTTATGGTATTTATTCTTTATTTCTGACTTTAAAGTAACTTATTTTATTTTATTTTTATTATTTAAAGTATTACAAATAGTAGTACATACTTGTATGTCTCCTTTTTCCCTTATTGACCTTCCCCCAGGCATGTGCCCTTCCCATAATCCCCAGTGTCTTTTGTCCATTGGTTATACTTATATGAATGCATACAAGTTCTTCAGTTGATCACTTACCAATCACTTACTCCAGCCTTCCCACTATAGTTTGACAGTATATTAGATACTGCTTTGCCTCTGTATCTATTTTTGTTCATCAGTTCATAATGTTCTTTATATTTCATAAATGAATAGGATCATGTGGTATTTTTCTTTCACTGACTGGCTATAATGCTCTCCAGTTCCATCCATGCTATTGCAAATGGTAAGAATTACTTCTTTTTTACAACAGCATAGTATTCCATTGTGTAGATGTACCATAATTTTCTAATCCACTCATCTGCTAATGGGAATTTAGGCTGTTTCCAATTCTTAGCTATTGTAAATTGTACTACTATGAACCTAGGGTGCATATATCCTTTCTGATTGGTGCGTCTGTTCTTGTACCAGTACCAGGCAGTTTTGAGAATAGTGGCTTTGTAGTTTAGCTTGATATCTGGTATTGCGATCCCTCCAACATTGTTCTTCTTTCTCAAGATTGCTATAGCTCTTCAGGGACTTTTTTTTTTTTTATTCCAGATGAATTTTTGGAGAGTTTGTTCTAGGTTTTTAAAAGTATGTCATTATTATTTTAATGGGGATTACATTGAATTTATAGATTGATTTGGGTAGTATAGACATTTTAATGATGTTGATTCTACCAATCCATGAACATGGTATAGTCTTCCATTTATTCATGTCTTCTTCTATTTCTTTTGTTAGCATCCTGAAATTTTCTGGTACAGATCCTTTATCTCCTTGGTTAAATTTATTTTTAGGTATCTTAATTTTTTGTTGCAATGGTAAATGGGATTGCTTTTTTAGTTTCTCTTTTTTTCTGTGAGTTCTTTATTAGTGTATAGAAAAGTCATAGGTGTTAATTTTGTATCCTGTTACATTGCCAAATTTATTTATTAAGTCTAGTAGTTTTTTGATGGAGTCTTTGGCATTTTTTTATTTAATACAATGTCATACCATCTGTGAATAAGGACAGTTTTACTTCTTTTCCAATTTGGATCCCTTTTATTTTTTCTTCTTGTCTGATCTCAATGGCTAGTACTTCCAGTACTATGTCAAACAAGAGTGGTGAGAGTGGGCATTCCTGTCTTGTTCCTGTTCTTAGGGAAAATGATTTTAATTTTTACCCGTGAGTATGATGTTGGCCATGGGTTTGTCATATATGCCTTTATTATGTTGATATATGATACTTCTATTCCTACTCGCTAAGAATTTTTATCAAGAAAGGGTGTTGGATTTTGTCAAATACTTTTTGCATCAATGGATATGATTAAATGGTTTTTATCTCTCTGTTTATGTGGTGTATCATGTTTATTGATTTACGGATATTATACCATCCTTGCATCATCAAAATAAATCCCACTTGATCATGGTATATGATGTTTCTAATATAATGATGGATTCGATTTTCTAGAATTTTGGCCTAGAATCTATGTTCATGAGGAATATTGGCCTGTAATTCTCTTTCTTTGTATTGTCTTTTCTGGTTTTTGGATTAGGGTAATGCTGGCTTCATAGAAAGAGCTTCGAAGTGTTCCTTCCTCTTAAATTTTTTGGAATAGTCTGAGGAAGATAGGTTTTATTTCTTCTTTGAATGTATGACAAAACTCCACTGTGAAGCCATCTAGTCCATGGCTTTTGTTTGTTGGAAGTGTTTTGATTACTGCTTCAATTTCGTCCACAGGTATCAGCCTATTCAGATTTTTTTTTTTAATTCTTCCTGGTTGAGTGTTGGAAGATTGTATTTTTCTAGGAACAGGTCTCTTCTAAGTTGACCAATTTATTGGAATAGAGTTGCTCATAGTATTTTTTTTTATTTTTTATAATTCTTCGTATTTATGTAAGGTCTGTTGTTATTTCTCTTTCATTTCTGATTTTGTTTTGGTCCTCTCTCTTTGCTTCTTGGTGAGCCTGGCTAGAGGTTCATCAATCTTCTTTATCCTTTCAAAGTATCAGCTCTTGATTTCATTGATCTTTTGTATTTTTTTTTTAGTTTCTATGTTATTTATTTCCACTCTGATCTTTATTATTTCCATCTTTATGCTCACTCTAGGCTTTTCTTGTTACTCTCTTTCTAATTCTTCAAGTTGCAGATTTAGATGGTTTATTACTAGTTTTCCTTGTTTTTGTTTTTTGGGTTTTTTTGTTTGTTTTGTTTTTCGGGTAGGCCTGTAATGCTATGAACTTCCCTCTCAGGACTGCTTTCACTGTGTCACATGATTTGGGATTGTTGTGTTTTTATTGTCATTTGTTTCTTCTTTGATCTCTTTGGTAACCCACTCATTGTTTACTAGTATACTATTCAGCCTTCAAGTGTTTGAATTGTTGTGATTATTTTCATTGTAATTAATGTCTAATTTTATACCATTATGATCTGAGAAGATGCTTGATATGATTTCAATCTTCTTGAATTTGGAGAGACATTCCTGATATAGTATGGAAATGCTAGATGGAGCATAGTGTTAAGAATTTGATAACCTGAGTCTAGTTTCAGGGTTATCTCTTATTTAACTGATGGCATTTAACTTTTAAAAATGTATTTCCTCATTCATAAAATTGAATAATATTTTACCTGATTTTGTTAGAGCTAATGAAAAGGAAAAAGAAAACACTGATTATTAAAATATTTAAAAAATTTAAAACAGTATAAAAATGATGCATGCAAATACTTTTATATGCATAAATGCTGGAAAATAATAGTCAGACCGTTATTTGGTTTGAGTTCTCATTATTTATGGAAATGAAACTTCACTCTTTAGAAAGGTTTGGCAAAGAACAGGTCATTGTGTTTTACATTTTCTGTGAATGACATGAACAGAGCAAGATCTCTAACATTTAATTTGCTTTCTTGGAAAGGTAGCAGCTGAAAATTGACTCTGTCAGGACTTTCACATGTGCTCTTAAGACATATTGCATTGTATATTTGGCATTACACATTTCCCAAAGTCCTTTTCATCTTCAAAGATTTTTATAAATGTCAACCAATTTGTCCCACTTTTGCTTCTTAATAACTAGTGTAAAAATCGTGTTCCTTAGGGCTCCCAGCATGTTAATAAATAGTTGCCACAAATTCATTGTTTCAAAATTAATTTCATATAGAATCATACACATTCTGCAACATAGACATAAAAATAAACATAATTTATGAGGCCAAATTTAAATAGCACCATGTGATCTTTCACAAGGATGACCAAAGCTCTGATTTAAGATGACAAACATAATTATTGTACTGAGTGGTAACCCAGGAAAAGCTTTCTGTGTACTGTTGTTAGAATTTCGTACTGTTATGATTCCCCACATTGAGTGGGCATTTTAAAACGTATGTGGATTAGAAATTGTACCTAACTTATGCTTTTCAGGGATGTCATTGAGAAAACTTGAATGTACAAAATAAATACAATATTCCTACCTAATAATATAGTAACCTGTAAATTAACCATCACTACACTACACGCCCAAGCCACACCCACCAGCCAATCAGAGTGAGTATGCAAATTAACCCAACAAAGATTGTGGTTAATTTGCATATGCTGAGGGAGGGAGAAGTGAAGACTGAAGACAGCATAGAAGGAAGAGGGAGGGAAAGTGGAAAGCAAAGCAGCTGCCACTGCTGGAGGGAAAGCACTGGCAGCATGTGCAGGGCAGGGCGAGGCAAGGCACACAGTGGAGGAGGTGGCAGCAGGAGGCAGCAGGGGTGGCCCCAGAGGTGGTGGAAGCAGGTGTGGCAGGCATGGGTGTGGTGGGGCAGGTCGAGCCCTGCTCACCACAGTGGGAGAGGCCGGAAGGCTGGGCTGGGAGCAGGAGAGGTAGCAGTGGCAGGAGGGAAGCCCGCTGAAAGTCTTGCAGGAATATTCCTGCAACAGGTCCCTAGTAAATGTTCTAAAAGAACATGAAATTTTATTACAATGGTTATCAGGGTACATCTGAAATGGCCTGACACATCTGCCTCTTCTTCTTTAGGCTCCTTTACCTGCAATAACGGATCTTCCAGAGTTTTTTGTTGCTTCTTACAAATGGCCTGGATGGACTCATGGCCCATTGGATCAAAAAAATTGTGCTGCATCATGGGCTTTTTCCACTGCAAGTAATGAAGTCATTTTAATTACTTCCTTATAAATTCTCCCTTTGACTCTAGATCCTGGGACAGTCATTAAAAGGTTTTAAAATTTAGAATATTTAAATATTAACTTTTGGTGCATTAAAATAAAATCTTATTCCTCAGAGGAAGCAACCTGAACATTATATAAAACTCCATTTTACTCTGAAAATTGGTCTGTAGGGTTTAATCTTAAATAGAGAGTAAATCAAAAGAGCAATGAAAAAAAGTTGCCTATTTTGTTTGTCCTTTGATTTAAGGACAGATAGTAAGAGGAATATAAGGTTCCTTTTCATTCATAATATAATACTAATATAGATATATGCACAATTTTTAAGTTTTTCCTTTTTTAAATATTTCAAAAATATATTAACTTGGTAAACTAATTTGACATAAAGCAAAGACAGGATGAACTGATAGTAGGTTGAATGGATTTAATTTCATTTTAGATCAAAACAAATATATTGGTTCTGAGTCCAAAGTAATATAACTGGTCTTTTAATAAGAATAACTTTCAAATTGTGTTGCTGATCATTCAAAAGTATAACAATACATATTTTGTAACAATTTTCCTATAAGTTCAGAAGTCCAGTAAATCAATACTCAAGTTAATGCCAAGATTTGGTATCCAAATTATCCTCAAAAGAATGTTTGTTGTACTCTAGCAATTAAATACACTAACAATATTTATTGGCTGCTATCAAGAAACTATGTTCTAAGCTTTAAAGGTAATTCCAAAAGAGTACTCGAAAACAGACTAAGCACTGAGAGCATTGTGAAATAAGTACATAGGCTTTTAGAGAAACCTACTCTGAAGAGGAGCATTCCTTAGGACAGAAAAGTGCTGATATTTTTGTGTAAATAATATTGCTTCATTGTGTAAGTATTAGCCAGTTTGTTCTAGAAATAATGCCAATAGCCAAGGTCACCTCTGGAGTGGCTTCCTTTATGTATGCTACTGCCTACTAGCTCCCTGATTGTCTGATGTTTGTCCTCACTGCAGTAGGGATCCACATGGGGATTCTTTAAGCCCTATTCTAATTAGATAGGAAATATTTAATCAGATAAGTCATTTGTCATTTTGTATTCATGTGGTTAATGTATTACACCTCCTAAGCGATATCTAAGCATTCTGCTTTAACTCTAGGTTAAATCAGTATTTCTGAAGATGTCTTAGGACAGATGTTGGTGGTGAAATGCTAAGAGTAAACTTGCTCGGGTGATTTGGACAGCGTGTTTTGGGGTCCCTAGGTCACAGACCCACAGAAGGCCTCAGTACATTTGTCCCCAGAACAGTGGAGACAGGGTTTTCCACACGTTCAGGGTTTCAGAGGACACAGGAAAACCAGACTGATGATATAAATATATTTTTTAATGTGTTCAATAAAGAAAAGAAGGTACTAAGTTCTTATGAAGATCTAGAAAATTCTATTAGAAAGTAGTAGTTAAAATGACCAAAAAAAAAAAGTGTTTAAAATAAGCTATAAAATGGAATAAATAAGACATTAAAATCTATATTATAAAAGGCCCGTGGCCCTAACGCTGAAAGACCCGCACGAGTGGGTGGGGGTTAAGTGCCCGTAAGTGAGGCCACAGGATTTCGCCAGCTGGGCTTCTAGTATTTACACATATATATATAAATCAGTAGTTATTCAGTGAAATAAAATTCCAGCAAGATGTCAGAGGCTGAATATGTGGAGTTGGAAACGGTGGCGATGATACAAGTCACAGAGCAAATTTGGAGACAGAATAAAATAAGCAGAGAAAATAATAGTGTGTGTCTCAGAGGTAAAGCCCAATAAAAGTCTTCAAACAAAGTGAAAAACAATTTGCTGAACTGAGTCATTCTTTAATCTTCTGACCTTTTCTAAGTATTTCTAGTGAATTTGGATTAAACCTTTACCGAGATTAAAAAACGTCTACATAAAAGCAACATATTGCATACCATCTGAATTTAAAATATTTGTCCTTTAGTTGAAATCTTCAAATTCATGGGGCTAGAATAAATCTTACAGGTCAACTTTTTTAAGACTTTGGTTTTATAAGAGGCACGTGTAGGTAAAGTGACTCACCCAGAGCCGAAAGCCAAGCAGAAATGATCCTTGAAGCCAAGTTTCTGACTTCTTGAATATTCTTTACTCTACATTGTAAAGTATATTCTGAGCTACAATAACATTTCAAAAAAATATATTTGATTCTGAACCCATGTACTGAAAGTCAAAGCATCAAAGGATTCTATTTTCTTTTCAAACTAGGGAACTGTTTTCTTGAGGATAGCAGAGGAGGATAGCAGTATAATGCCATTTGTTCCTATGAAATATATCCTAACACAAATAGTTGGGAACACATATTCAGCATCTGAAATGTGCCAGCCAATTCTATGAAAATATACATATGCTGTAATTACATAAAAACCATGTATGTACAGAGATGTATATATAAATGAATTATTTTAAAATAAGTTATTTTAAAATATAAGTTGGCATTTTGAGGGGTTCCAGTACCCAGACAGTTTTAATGAGCAAAAATGAAAACTTGTTCTGAGAAAAATAGATGGATAGACAAAAGGCTATGACTCTGCTGCCTTCTATTAAAAGAGATTAAACACCTAGACTGAGACTATACCCGGCAACAACAAACACTGTGTACCAAAGTGGCACCCTCTCCAATTTTTTTCATGATCTCATGGCTTACATTAGTTTATCATGGTAGCATGATCAAAATGAAAAAAACATGTATAGTTTTCTGGAACTGGTTAATTAATTATGACTCTTGTGTTTTGTCATATATCTAACGCTTAGCATATCTGTCATTTAGTAGATGGTCATTAAATATGTGTTGGGAAAAGGGATAAATTGATAAATGATGGCCATAATAGGAAATTATTTAAGCAGAAGACGGTAGGTTTCAATAATAAAAGGCATAGACTGTAGGTTTCAATAATAAAAGGCACCCGTATCTTCCGGCATATAAGACGACTTTGGAAACGAAAAAAAGTCAACCAAAAATCGGGGGCAAAAGACCAAAATTGCACAAAAATTACCTGCAGATCTTGACGGCAAAGTAAGTCTTTTCTTTAAAGTGGAGGGTAGTCTTATATAGCGAATATAGGCCTAAACCTATGTTTTAACTGTAAAATTAGGGGATCATCTTATATGCCGGAAAATATGGTATATGAATTCAAATCTACTGAAATAAGATTAGGGTCATGATTTTTAACAATATTATAAGCATAAAAGTGTGCTGTGTAACTTTTAGATATTTTATCAGATAGAGTCATATTATTCTGGATTAATTTAAGAATGGTCTTCACAGGCAGTTAAACTAGATACCAGTTATAAAACCCAGAAATTTGATTTATTCCAATATATCAGATTAAAATAGATGAACTTCCAATTAATATTTCTATAATCAGTTTTTCTCATTTTCTTAGTTTAGTTACATTCATTTAAAAAATATATATACCCATGACTATATTTAAGATACTGTTCTAGGTGCAGGGGATATAAATGTCATTAACATATAGCCTTGGTCCACAAGCTGTTTCATTTGATTGATTTCTTAATGAAGAATTCAGAAGTATATAGAACATGAAAGAAACAAGGAACTAGAAAAGTCTTTGAAGTTGATAAGACAATGGGGCAATACCAAAATCAGATAAAACTTATGGTTGAAATTATGATACAGTGAACTTATTGGAATACATAAGTACATTAATAAAATTTTGCCTTACTTTTGAATTACATAAATTTTAGAAGACGAGTTTAGTGTTGAAATAAAAAGATAGGTAAATTATTAGAAATTCCATGTGCCATTTGAATATTAATCAGTATTTTATTTGAAACAGGTGTGGCTGCTGATCGGATAGCAATTCAGTCTAAGGGTCGATACACAGCCAATCTGTCTCCTCAGAATTTGATTTCTTGCTGTCCCAAGAATCGCCATGGATGCAACAGTGGAAGCATCGATAGGGCTTGGTGGTACCTGAGAAAACGTGGGTAAATAGCTGCCCAACATATATTTCTAGGTTTCTTATGAGGGCTGCTTAAGGTTAGAATAAGGAAAAAAAATATATAGTTCAAAATTTTTACCCAAAATGTACAAATATATATGCTACATCTATATAAATGTATACTTCACTTGGTATCTGCTGAGTTTATAAACTATTAGAAATAATGATTTGAAGAATGTATGCTTTCTAGCTAAATTAGTAGAAAGACTCAAATAAGCATTGCCTCCTTTTTGTTCTGAGCCAAATGCAGAGATAGTGTAATTGATATCATTGATACCTCTGTTAAACCTCTAAATTACCCAGGTTGATAAATAGATGTCAGATAAGTCAGGTTTAGAATCAGATGAATAAAATAAAGAAGTAACTTACAGTTGCCTCTATTCATCAGTATCATTAATTATCTCCATTAATGATATTGATGAGAAAAGATAGTTTTTATTCTTACTCTCATATACTCTGATAACCTACTTTGAGAGCCTCATTTACTTAAGAGTTGAATTATTTGGCTATGTAAACTGCAGGTGATATTTACTAGTAGACTTATATACTGCTCACTTCCTCCTCCCTCCTCCTCCTCCCTCACCCTCATTCATTGGACCTGCTATGAAAGAGTGGGGGTCAGATATTGATGAGTGGCAATAAATTTCTTTAAAAATTTATTTTCACATATTTTGCCTAGTAAGATAGTGCGTAGAATGGACTAATTCTAATCTTGGGCTGATACCCTTCTGATGTATGAGTGCTTGTTTGGCTTCTGTTTTGCATTATAATAAAAATTAAATGGGGTTAAAAATACAAATGATTATTGAGACACAATTAAATCTCATTGTGTTAGTCTGCTTAGATTAACATAACAAAAAATCATAAACTGGGTATCTTAGACAATAAGCGTTAATTTCTCAGAGTTCTGGAGACTGAGAAGCCTAAGATCAAGTTGTAGCCAATTCAGTTTTTGGAGAGAGCCCTCTTCCTGGCTTACCTTCTCACTAATTTTTCAACCTTCTCACTATGTTTTCACAGGAAGAGAGAGTTCTCCTGTTTGCTCCTCATCTTATAAAGACACTAGTCTCATTATGAACACCACTCTCCTTACCTCTTTAATAGCTAATTATTTCTGGAAAGTTCCATCTCCAAATACCTTCAAATTGGGGGTTAGAGCTTTAATATGTGAATTTGGGGCAACACAATTCAATGGTTTGCACTCATTATCCCATTTAATATAAGTTGTCTTTTTGAAGTGTTTAGGTTTTTAATAGCTTTGCTTTCATTACTGTCTTTGCCCATATTTTCTTAATCTATTGAACACTATTGAATTTTCTTGAACTAATCTGATTGTATACTTACATGGCCAATTAAACATTGAATATCTATAAAACCAATTGTTTTATTTTCCTTACCATCTGCTTCTCTACTCAATGAATTATGTTAGATTTTGGGTCAAATAATTTGGACTTTTTATGTTCAGTTTCAAAATTAGAGATTAAAGTTGTTTTCTTTATCTTTTGTGTAATTCAGATAATTTTCTACTTTATTAACTTTAAAAATTATATTAGCGTATACTATTTTATGAAAGTATCATGAACCACAAATAATAGTTGAAGTCTTATGAGAAGTTATCTTATAACTTAATAAAAATGTAAAAATACCCTTACATAAACATATGCTTTATCAGAGCATCCCATCTAAATATAATAAAATGTATCGCCTTTTTTACATTAAACTTGGCTCTTCTGAATTACAATTATAGATACAGAATGAAGTAATTCCCCTATTAATATCAGCATGGATTTTATTGACAGTCACTTTTCATCCTTGGGAAATTCTATAATGTAGATAGTTATTTATTAAAGTGATTGAAGCAATATTTTAAAAAGTACAATGAAGAAACAAGAGGGGGGCAGAGGAGAGTGTAACATCAGTGAATTGCTCTTTTAGAATCAGTCGACATTTTGAAAGTTACACATGTAAGCATCAGAATGTTTAATTCAGTAAAGTTGCACATAGATAGGTGTGTTACGGCATTTTCCTAAGTATTACATTTACTTCTTTGCTTGTTTCTGATAGACTGGTATCCCATGCATGCTACCCACTTTTCAAGGACCAAAATGCTACCAATAATGCCTGTGCCATGGCTAGTAGGTCTGATGGGCGGGGAAAGCGTCATGCCACAAAGCCATGTCCCAACAACATTGAGAAATCTAATAGGATCTACCAATGCTCTCCTCCATACAGAGTCTCTTCTAATGTAAGTCTGAATGTCAAGAAATAACAGTGATTTACTTGTTAAAAATATATATATAGCTCTCCTGTTATTAAAGCTATTTAAAAACTATTTAAACCCATTACATTCTAATATAATGTTATGTTTTCAGGTATAATTTCTGGTATTCTTAAAGTGACCATTAAAAATGTCCAGTTTGGGTATGATTTCTGATCTTTATAATGTGAGCAGTATACATGCTTGACTTACATTTAGAAATGCCCATGGAAATAGAGTTTTTAAATCATGTTTTAATTACTTAATATTATTGACAAGTAAAAACTAAATCCAACCTTTATTACTGACTTTTTACTTGTGGTTGTAGCTCATTTTATCAATCCTTTGCCTTACTCCACAAAATAATTAAAATAGGCATAGCTGTAATGGGCAAAGGATGCCCTTGGATTCTAGTTTGTCATGTTAAAAGCACTGGCAAATTTTATCCCATCATGTCAGTGTCACCCAGACCTTCTCATTTTCAGAATATCTCACCTTCACTGTCTTTCAGTTACCTGTGAAATACAGTCCAATATTCTTACACGACATACAGGCTTTCATGATTTGTTTCTGACCTGCTACTTTTACAGACTTTTGTCTGGCCAGCATCTACCCCTCCACTCACTCATACTGCTCCTGATATAAGGACTACTGTCTGCTTCCTAGACACACCATATGCTTTTACGCTTCTCTACTTAGACAAGTGCTGATTCCTCTTACCCAAATGATTTCCCACCTATTTTCAGGTAAAATCCCACATATGTGTCAAGGATCCATCTTCTCTTTGAGGTTTTATTGCCTTCTAGGTAGGATTAATTTCCCTTTCTTGTTTGCACGTATGGCACTTTGAGCTTGTCTCTATAACAGAACTCATCATTTTGTAATGCCGTTATTTATGTTGCTGTCCGTCTTTTCTACCAAAATGTAAATACATCGACGATAGGTTCAGGGTCAATATTTGTTTCTATCCTGGTTTTTGGTGATATGTACTCTGTGATACCTGTGAATAGATGAGTGGATGAATGAATAACCTGGCTCTTTACGAAGGGATGCATTACAGAATGGGTAGCAACATTTGTATGTTAAATCTACACCAAGAAACTCCACTGAACATGCATATAGAACTGCTCCTGTGGTCAAAAAATAGAAATGCCTCTAAAAGCAAATGATAAACATGATTTTAACTTAATTTTTTGTGACCATAAAAAAGTAATTATTTTTCCTCTATTCCAACATTATTGTCAGTGTTACAGTCAATGAAATAAATGGGTGCATGTTATTTTAGCAACTTTATCAATGGGTTATTTCACATGTGGGTATTTCAAAGCCTGATTAATAGCAGGTGGTCAACACACATTGGATTGTATAACTCCTAGATTGACTGTACAAGACCTGGCAATATTTACCAGGCAATGGATTTAGAATGTTCTAATAACAATAACAATGCTCATTGATAATTCTCCTTTAGGAAACTGAAATAATGAAAGAAATCATACATAATGGACCAGTTCAAGGTATGCTCAGATGAAATATGGTTGTGTGTTATTTATTCCTTTAATAAAGAACATTACAGTTTAGATCATGAAAAAGCAGATTAATAATAGAAAGAAAATGTTGACTTTTAGAGTGTTCATAAGGGTTTAACAATACTTAGGGAAATCATGGAATATACACTCACATAATAACTTCATTAGTTGTTATTTTATTTAAAAAATAGATTCATCCATAGATTTAATTCTGAAATATTAATGAAACATTTGATGAAAGTTTGATAAATCCTTCTAGCTTGATTATGAACCAAGCAGTCAAACATAAAATGCTAAGTGATGGAGCTCATTTAATTGTTCAGTCCTATTTAAAATTCATACATAGTCCTAGAAATTTTTTCAGTTTTAGCTTAAATGGATCAGGAAATAGAATGAAAAAAAAATTCAAGATTTAGCGGTAGAAATAAAATAGATACACTTACTTTCCTTTTTTTTAAAATAGATTTTATTGATTTTTTACAGAGAGGAAGAGAGAGGGATAGAGAGTTAGAAACATCAATGAGAGAGAATCATCGATCAGCTGCCTCCTGCACACTCTCCACTGGGGATGCGCCCGCAACCAAAGTACATGCCCTTGACCGGAATCGAACCTGGAACCCTTCAGTCCGCAGGCCGACGCTCTATTCACTGAGCGAAACCGGTTTCAGCTACACTTACTTTTCTATAAATTCAAATAAAATCAAATAAGCCAGTAGGATTTTGTATTTTATAAAAGGCTTTTTATTTTGATCAATTTGTGTTACAGAGAGTAAGCAGTAAATAAAAAATAATATGCTAACTTTCTCTACATTGACTTTGAGTTGTAAGATATCATCTCTGATATATAGTTTCTCTGCTTACCTATTGAATTTTATTTTTCACCAATGACATATCTAAAGATACAGTCACAGTTATATTCTCTGTAATAAACATTTCTTTGAAGGGCATGAAGAACAAATTTAGTGAGTTTTAAATGGAAATACAGGTTGTGAACAATAAAAAGCCCAAAATATATGATCAATGTACTGTAATTAACCAAATATATTAAACCAAAGCTTAAATTTAAAATATTTGATATAGACCTTAGGAACTATTGGCCAGTTCTTGTTTTTGTTAATGGTGACCTGATTAGTATTGATTCAATATCTAGCAGGCACTGTGGATTTTAAAACTGTGTTGGAATAATTTGTATTGATTGTTATCATCACTTCCTATTTATTGAGAAACTGAAGCTTACACTAAGCATATCTTGGGACATGTTTTAGTTTTTAAAATCCTTGGGTCTTAAGCAAAACCTGAAACAAATGAAAAGGAAAATTTTTTTTTCCTTCTTTATAATTGTGTCATTTTTGTTGGCACTTATAGAAGAAGGGCAATACATGTATAATTTAAATATATTAAGTAGAGTTTGTGTGACAGATTTGAAGGAGCACATTCATTTGGAATCAAGGATAAATTTAAAAATACAACTTTCACATTGGCTACTTAAATAACTTTAGGCAAATTACCTAATCATGTTTGAATCTTCAGATCGTAAGTACTATTATAAGTTCTCTCTATATATAAAATAAAATAAAAATTGGGATTATAATTATTCTAAATAGAACACCTTAGGTTTCTTGTGTGTTCACACAGTTAAATGTTCATGAATTTCATACAACAAATCAAAAGTAAAGAGAAAAAATTTCAAAATAATAAAGTATTCAACCCCCATTGAACAAATGTTTGTTGAGAAGCTGTCTCCTGCCAGCCTGAGCTGGGAGTGAGAGGCAGAGAGCAGTGAAGATAAGTTTGTGCTGCCCTCAAGCATATGACAATTCTACATAAATTTGATGCAGGTTCAAAATAAAATCGAACTATAGTAGCTTATATAGTCAGATGTCTGTGGGTTCAAGTCTGTTTTGGTGTCAGAAATGGAAGAAAGGAGCTGCCTTCATGTTCATTGTGATGGCTTCTCACCCATGTTTCTTTAGTTGTCAGTGTTTTTCTGCAGTGAAGTGTATTTTACCTGTGATGGTTAACAGAGAGTGTGGAAAAGCTACAGAAGCTAATTCTATATAATAAAAGCCTAATATGCTAACTGTCTGACCATGCCCTCAACTGTTTGACCAGTTGTTATGATGTGCACTGACCACAAGAGGGTAGGTTAGCTTGCTGCTGGGGTCTGGCCGATCGATACTGGGCCAGATGGGCCTGACACATCCTGGAGCCCTCCCACTGTCCCTTCCCAGCCGGCCAATCTCTTACTGTCCTTCCCTGGCTTCTAAAATATTTCTTCTAATAAATTTCCTTTCAATGTGCACAAATTTGTGCACTGGGCCTCTAGTGATTCTATAAAATAAGGAAAAATGCTTGCAAAATCTTCCCATTTTTATAAATGTTGATTGACTCATCTTGCTGTATATGCAAAGTGATGTCTTCCATTGTTGCATTTCCTCCCAATCTCAATACAAAAGTATTATATGTAAAAGGCAACAGAATGCTGACTGACTAACACTGTGAGCATTTTTTCTAAAATATGTAGAATGAAAAATAAGTTTAGGTTATGGAAATAGAACAATAGCGAAGATCTGCATAGATTACAGTTATATAAATTCTTAAAAACCTATGGGAATGTGTTTTAAAGTTGGTAAAGAAAATTTAACTTCTTTTAGAATATTTGAACAGCATCAGAAAATGCATGGGACATTAAAAATAAAATAAAAGTGGAACATTAAATAGTTATATTTGACTTTGGAATAGTAGCTTTATTTGAGCTGCTAGCAAATGCCTATGCTATGTAAAATGCATGTCAAACTAAGATAGACAAGTAGGATACATAGTTATGAAGGGAGTTTATCTTGGCCCAACTAAAAATATTTTCAGTTCACATCTTTTAGAAGTTTAAAGTCTTCATTCTGAATTACCCAAGCCCTTCAACAAAGCCCACAATACAGAAAAGAAGTAATCTAGGTGAGGAAATGAAGGAAAGCTCTTATTTTCTAAAGAATACAATATCGGCTCAGCTCTCCAGAATTGGGAGGCTGGAATCTTCTCAGAATATTCCTTTGCCAAGGGTTTGCTTTCTATTCAAGCTCACCGAGGAAAGATTTGTATTTATTTCTAAGGATTAAGGTCAATTACTTTAAGCCTGGTTTGCTAGGCTCACCCTGCGCTGCTAGCTTAATTGGAGTTTTAGAGGCTTGTGGTGAAGCATAAGGTTAATGGAGAAATCACAAATCACTAGCCAAGTGCAGAGGTCCTTCACTGCAAAGACTCAATTCCTGGTACTAGTGCCTCTGTCAATTAAGAATACCTGGTGTTTTAAAGGTATAATGTGAATTTAAGTAATACTCAAACAGCTAAAAGTTATTCTTAGAAGAAGAAAATACTGCAGCCATATGTAAGTGAAATCATAAGGTACTTGTCTTTCTCTGAGTGGCTTATTCACTTAGCATAATACTCTTCCAATAAATTAACAAACAAAATAGAACCAGACTCATAGATACAGAGAACAGACTGACAACTGTCAGAAGGGAGAGAGAAGATGTGCTAGGTGAAAAAGGTGAATGGATTAAGCAAAAAATATAAATAAAAATAAGCAAACAAATAAAACCAAACTCATGGACAATCCACAGAATGGTGATATCAGAAGGAAAGGCGGTTGGGTGGAGGCAAATTAGGATAAAAAGAGGATAAATGGTGATGGAGGGAGACTTGAATTGGGTTAGTGAACACACAATATAATATAAAGATGACATATTATGGAATTGTGTATCTGAAACCTACATAATTTTATTAACTAACTAGAGGCCTGGTGCATGAGCTTTGTGCACAGTTAGGGTCCCTAGGCTTGGCAGGCAATGAAGGCTGATATGTGGGATAACCAGTGGGTGATCCAGGGGGCCCCCACTGGCACCTGCCTTGGCCATTCTGGCACTGCCCTCTTGCTGGCCCCACCCTACACCATTGGTTGTCTCTCTCTATTGGGGGGAGACCCTACTGGCACCTGCCTTAGATGGCCTAAAACCTGCAGGCTGGGGGCAGCTCCTACATTAAGCATCTGCCCTCTGGTTGTCAGTATACATCATAGCAATTGGTCATTCCGCCATTCGGTCGATTTGCATATTAGGCTTTTATTTTATAGGATGTCATCCCAATAAGTTCCACAACAACAAAATATTTCAACCAACTAAATTAAGCAGGAATCAAAATTAGCCTGTATTACAAGATTGCTTCTTAAATTCTATTCTGGCAATTTACCCATTGGTTGTTTTGTGAGAATTTCTGGAGGTTTATAAAGTTAATGTTTTTAACTGTGTAATTTTTCCTATTGGGTTTTATTTTAGCCATAATGCAAGTCAATGAGGATTTCTTCCATTATAAGTCAGGAATATATAGACATGTGAAGAATGAAGAATCAGAAAAATATCAGAAGTTTCGGACACATGCAGTCAAACTCACTGGGTAAGGCAATTCTTAAAAATCTTTAACACATTTAAAAATGAAACTAAAAGAAAGTGCATATAGTGCATTTTGGTACCAAAATTCTGCTTTGTATTGAGAGAGCCCGATATAAATTAAAAATTATCTAAGCCTTAATAATCCTTAATTAATAATTTAAAATTCAGTAAAAAGGTAACTTAATATTCTGCAAAAAAAAAAAAAAAGGCCATTTCCTATTTCTCACCTATTAGTAATGTGTCCTAATGTTCCAAGGGCAAGGGAAATATATTATTCCAAGTATGTTCTCATAATGTATCACTCTAATTCAAATGGAATGCTACTGAAAAGATTTTAGGAATCATTTTGTTTTGTTTCCACCCTCACTTTTCTCATCTGACTGAACCCACACACAAGCAACCTCTGTTACAACTAAATCATTACCTTCTCCTTACTGATCTTTGAAATTCTTTGAGTCAATTCCAAGGTATGCAGAGGCATTTTCCCTTTCTCTGCTTTATAATCAACCTTTTCTACCACCATACAAACATGCATTATATCTCAGATATTATGATAATAAAAACTTTCCCTTGAGTCCTTCTCCACACTCCATTCATGGTCTTTTCTTACAGAAAACTCCTTGCATGATTTGTCTGTCCTTACTTTCTTCAATGTTTTTCCATCCATTTTTTAAACCTCTCCAAACACTTTTATTTCCCTGCTCCTGTTCATAAAAAAATATTTATTTCAAGGTTGTTAATGACCTCCACATTGCCATATTCATCAGTCAGAATGCACACCTGCCCATCCTTTTGTGCTGATTTTTCTTTTCTGGCCTGACTTTTCAGTGTTCTTTGTTAGTTTTTTTTTTCTCCCTGTACTTATATACATCTTAATGTAAAGATGCTCACTTTTAGATCTTTTCTCCCTTCTATTCTCACTCATTCTCTGATGAATTCATCAATCTCTGAGTTTATCCTGCCTTTGAGAACCATCTAAACGTGACACTAATTCAATTTACTAGTATATCTCCCACCTAGATCTCTCTCCTGAACTCTATAAACTTATCCATTCCATAGCCTTCTTGACATCTCCACTTGGGCACCTAATAAATGAATCAAATTCAATGCTTACAAACTCAGCTCCTGATTCCTGCCTTTGTACCTGTTGAACAGCACTAACTTTCTCCATCTTAGTTAATGACATCATCCTTCTACATGCTCTGGCTGAAAACCTGGAAATTATCCTTGAAATTCCTTTCCTTGAAACTCACTTTCAATGTGTCAGAAACTGTTCTTTCAACTTATATCCAGAATCTAATCATTTTTTACTATTCAAACTGCCACAACTCTTGCCTGACCTACCATGACCTAATATTTTGTGCACGGAATACTTAAGTAGCTTCTAACTGGTCTTCTATTATTTTATTTGCCGTCAAAAGTCTATTCTCAACAGAGAAATAAGAATGTTCCTTTCATAACACTAGTCAGATCTTGCTACTTCTTTACTCAGAACCCTGCACTACTTTCCCAGTTCCATGGGAGCAAAACCCAAGGTCCTTACAATGGCCTACAAAGATCTGCATGATGTGAGGATTCCCCCACCTGCCTGCCTAACCCTCATCAATTTTCTGATCTCAATTTCTGTTCATCTGGGCCTGTTCTTCCTGCTTTAGTTCCTTTAATGTTTCAGAAATCCACACATTTAGGTCTTTCTCTGTGGTTAAAAGGCTCTTTCAGACATCTGATTTCTTAGTTTCTGTACTTTCATTGAGTATTTATTCAGATCTAATCTGTTCAGTGAAGCTACCCTGACTGTCTTATTTAATATTGCTAACTGCCTTCTCTTCCAGCATTCTGATCCCTCTTACATGATATATTAATTTTTGTAATGATTATTACTTTCTAAAACATGTTTAATTTAATTAGCTTTGTATGTTAATAGTATATTGTCTTTTCTCTCTACTAGATTGAAGCTCCATTAGAGCAGGCATCTGTAATATTCACTGATGTAGCCAAACCACCTAATACAACGCTGATCCATAAAATACTTAATGTTTTCTCTAGTCAAAGAATAAACTTTTTAAGCACATGTTCTATGCTAGTTCTCACTTGCTACTCTTCTTTAAATGGGTCAGCTTTTTGTTGAAAAATAGAGTAAGCAGAAGTTGGAGGAGAGAGCTGAAGCACTCCTCAGCTTTGATTGAAGTGTGCAATTTTTGGACCCATTCTGGCCAAATCAACTCGTCCCTTCCTGCTTAGCCTGGAGCATTTGGTGGGACTCACAATAGAGCCCTTGTAGCTATCTGTGCTGTCATGTGTGATTCTTTGCCTTTCTTCTCTGCTTCACCTTGCTTTATCTTTCCACCATTGCCCTGAGTAGTTGGCCAGGACTCTCAGTCTGGTGGGCTTCCAATGTGATTTCTTCCTCAGTGGAACTCCCATGGGTTGTATGGGAACAGATGAACATAGTTCAATTGCTGTATCATTAGGGGGTATTCCTGGACTGTCTTATATACTTTTAAGGGCAAACTTTCCCCATTCAGGTTGGAGACAGAGGGGAAGGATTGTATGTTGTTTCTCAGCATTTACTCTTGCTTTGGTAGAGAACAAAATGTATATTCTGTTATTCCTCAGTTGTTATTTGGAATTACAGCTGTTTGCTTGGTTTACTAAAGACAGAAAGTATTGAGGTTTTAAATTTGATTTTGTTTTTATTTTTTAAATTCTTGTTTAGTTACTTTTCAGGAAGATGAATGGAATAAAAATGTCTTTGTGCTGCCATTGTAACTGGAAATTCATCTATTTTTTATTTCCCTTCACTTTGAAAGTCCCATTCCTTCTAAATCTCTCCTGTTTATGTATATTTCATTATCAGTTTTTGTCTTCTCTAGTGATGCTCTTGATGGGAAAAATTTTCCCACCATATACTTGATGATTGGAATAATTTTTGCTATCATTCAGAGAACACTGAAAATGACAACATTGATATAGACTCTTTCTTTCTTGATTTATTAGAACTGATCACTTATCATCTCTACCACCTACTTAGCCATTCAGTCTACTCCTAAATTTGTTCATGCTGGCCTTGTACAAGATATGGGTGTGTTTACATTTAATCACTCTGATACCATCTGTTTTCCACGTTCAATGTGTCAGTTGCAGTAGTGTGTTAGTTTTTATAAACATTTAGAAAATTGAGACCTTTATACATATATATCACATGTGTGACATTTAACAAGGCTAATTCTGAAAAACTACTCTTGGAGCATATGTTTATTTTTCAGAAATACTTTAGGCCCTGAGCATTGTTAGGTGCCCTGGAAAAGTAGATTTTAATTCATTTCTTCATTAGTAATTCCTGACTTGGTAATTACTACATGCAGAAAATTAATGCATCAGTGAATTAGAGAGTAATCAAATAGCCCAAGTAAGTTAATGTTTCTTATCAGAGAGCTTAATATACTCCTGTCAAGTACCTTACAAATTTATTGCAATACATACATTCTATTTGCTGCTCTTTCTGTAGAAGACAACTCTGTTAGACTTCACTTACTTGAACAAATGAATTTAAAGTTCTATCACATGCCAAGCACTGGGAAATAGGAGGAGGATAACTACATAGTCCTACTCTTAAGGACTTTAGGGAATAAGGCAAACCCATTCACAACTGACTCCAGCATAAGGTAATAGATGCTATATATTCCCATATATATAAAGGACAGAATTGTGATAGGTAGATAACAACTTATAAAAACTAAGTTTTATTTGCCCTTAATAAATAATTGTATTTTGCCAAAACCGGTTTGGCTCAGTGGATAGAGCGTCGGTCTGCAGATTGAAGGGTCCCAGGTTCGATTCTGGTCAAGGGCATGTACATTGGTTGCAGGTACATCCCCGGTGGGAGGTGTGCAGAAGGCAGCTGGTTGATGTTTCTAGCTCTCTATTCCTCTCTCTTCCCCTCTGTAAAAAAAAAATCAATAAAATATATATTTAAAAAATAATAAATAAATAAATAAATAATTGTATTTTACTCCTCCCTCTTCTCCTTCTAAAACCTCTGTTTATCTCCATTATGGATACTAAACTTATAAAAACATTTAATTGAATAAAAATGTCATATTAGGAGACATTGTTTTATACAACAATAATAAGGAAATATTACCCATTAAACTGAGAAAGTCCATTGATTTTTAGATGGTTCCAATTTTAGAGCTATTAAAATATGCAGAAAAAGGTTTCTTGAAATAAAGACAATATGGCTGGTATTTGAGATATTTATCCTGGCTAGTATTCTCTATACTATAATTCTATTTCATGAGGATTTCTCTCCATATCTATTACAATTTATCTAGTGTCCCATATTTGGGTGTTAATTTGTGTGTGTGTGTGTGTGTGTGTGTGTGTGTGTGTGTGTGTGTGTGTGTGTCTGATGTCAACAATATCAAATTTTTTACATTATATAAATATTGTGTAGTGACTCAGACAGAAGACAAAACATTGTAAAATGGAAGCTGAAAGGAAAGTAAACATGAAAAGAATCCAGAAAGAACCAATTACATAATAACAAAGATGTTTTTCAAGTACATAATGAAGGATAATGCCAGTTTTTAAAATTAAATTGAACACCCCAAAATACATTTTAAAATGCTACAAAATTATAGAAATTAAACAAGTTTCCAATAAGTGACTGTGAAGACGTTTGCTTTGAGTTAATCATCCAAAAATCAAGGAAGAGATTTCTGTAAACTTTGATGCATATCTATTATAACGACTTAAATTTAGGCACAAATAGAATGATTTCTAAGTTCCTTTTTTTCTGTGTTTTCAACAAAAATAGAACTCATGTTGTTCCTGGTACTGTGGTAATAGGCAGTGTGTGAAAAATAAAACAATGGTCCTTGATTTCACAGTGCAACTAGATATCAAACAAAAACACATAAAAATGTAAAGTTATACATTTTACAAAGCAGAGTTGAAAGTAGTAAGAGGGCATACAATACTTGATCTAGACATTAGAATCTG